TCTCTGCACTCCCCCCCCCCAGCTGGGCCTTGGACTACGAAATGGTTTGCTTGAGAGGAAAAACAAGCCCACAGCATAGACTTTATTTTTATTTTTTTTAACCCTGGGGCTTGATAATATGTGATCTTTTGTTTGTCCAGACAAGCCGGTTTATCAAGTGCTGGTTGGAGGTGGTGGTTTTGAGACCAATTGTGGCAAAGGGGGGGGAAAAAAAACCACAAACCTTTGTTCCCCGTCTCTGACCTCTGGTTCAAGCCCCCACCAAGGGAAAACTGTTTACGTAGCGCGAGAACTGCACACGGACGCACACCCTGCCTAGAAGGCAATGTTATTTATTGATTTTATCGAACGACAGAGAGAGAGGACACAGGAACAGAATCTGGAAAGATCGGCAACTCCAAGGATTTGCCACGTGTCCAACTGACCCACATTTTGACCACTTCCTCTTAAGGCCGGGCAGGGCCAATCGAAGTCCACGGCCTTTGTCCTCACAGACACAGAAGGAGGTCTTCCTATCAACGGTCTTTGGCAGATGCTGGGCCAAAACGTAGCAGGTTTGTGACGGCAGATCAAGGCGCCAGCCAGAATCATCCCTCCAAGAATGGAGAACGGGCCACCCACTGATTCTGCAGGGGGTGGCAGCAAGCAGGTGCCCGTCTTCCCTTTGGGTCTCTGCAGCTGGAGGTGGTTGGAAGGACAGCCCGGAATCCCCAGTTCCCAGAATCTGAACTTAGCAAAAGACACAGGAGCCGAGAGGAGCCGCCAAGCAAATATCCAGTTGGGTTTTCCAGCTGTTTTCCTAGCAGAAACGTTTGCAGGAAAAATTCTTTGTGATTCATTTCACCCAGGAGGTCCTGAGCTACACAGGGTCTTCACTCACACGCTGGGCGTACGCCTGGTTCAGCACACCACACCATCGCAGTACTATACTTCTTACAGACTCCGAAAATAACAAAATCCAGCTGTTCACACCCCATGCATCAGGGGCAGGTCAAGAGAGAAATCCTATGGAAGCACAGTTCAAAGCATCACTCACCACTGGCTATGGTGAGTCCAATACGAAATCACCAGTGCATGGCCATTTGCCTGCCCCTGCCCAAGAGTTCCATAGGTTAATAGCCAATGGAACTCAGTGCCACAAGATGTAACGATGGCCAGGCTCTTGGACACCTTTCAGGGAGGGCAGAAGAAAGCTGCATTATACCGTGCCGTTACATTGAGTCTGTGCTGCAGATATGAGCTACAGGAAAGCCGGGGGATGTTTCTTTCATGCCCCACTCCTGGGCTTCTCGGAGGTTTCCAACACTGGGAAGCAAGGAGATGGGCATCATTCGTCTGTCTCTCTGTCTGTCTCTCTGTCTAGGGATGCTGGCAAGGACGCAGAGCATCTAACACACCTTCCCGTGGTGGCAGGTTTTAGAGAAGTGGGAAGGGAAGGGGGTCATGAGCAGGAATGTCACCCCAGCCCTTCCAGCGTTTCCCATCTTTGCTCCTCTTGGGCGTTTAACCTCAGCCTTGGCCATTAATTATTAGGCTGATGTGGGAAAGCGCTCATCCTCTGGCCCTTAATAATCCACCCAGTAAAGATCCCTAATTAATGCCCATTCCAAAGCCAAAACCACAGAAAGGAGTCAGGCAGCACCGATTAGTAAGCAATCGGGAACAGGATGGAGCTGACTGCGTGGAGAACAGCCACAGGATTTCTCCCGGCCTCGGGGGGGGGGGGGCTGGGGTTGCCAAGTCAACAGGATCCCACATCAAAGCCAAATCCTGCGACTGGGCTTGTGTCACCAGAGAAGGCCCATGGGATGTCCCAGAGGCAGGGCAGGCAAGGTTTGGGAAGGGAGTACAACTGCTGGACAGCACAGTGGTTTAGGCTTCTGACCGTGGAGCCAGAGGTTGGGAGTTCGATTCCCCTCTTGTGCCTCCTTGATAAGGGCTGGATGATCCACTGGGTTCCAGCTGTGTACAAAAACCTGGGTGCTGAGCCCTGGTGCTGCTTGTGAAAGGACAGCGATAGGCACTCAGGTTTTTGCACGTGACCCAGGCCAGCAGCATCGCCTCCTTCTGACTCTGCTGTAAGGTACAAGTGTGGACCCTGCTGGGTGAAAAAGGAGAAATATGTGGTGTCCTCCCCCCACCCTTCTTTTAAAAAAATTTAAAAAGAAAGAGAAAAATTACATTTTCAGAGGAGAAAAGGGGGCATTCCCTTTGCAAGGAGTTAAATTTCCCTGGGAAATCCAAGGGGAAGGATCCCATGCGCATGCGCATCCTGCTTCCCGGCGCCTAAGAAGAGGGGCCCTGCTGCCCTCTGATGGCCATGGGTTGCCTCACAGCGGCACAGGTCAACCTGCGGCAGGGTCGGGGTTGCGAAGGCCGCTGCATTCAAAGCTAGAGAAATTTATTTATTTATTTTATTTTATATTCCGCCTAAAGAGTGGTCCATTGTTTTGAGGTTGCCACGGCAACACCAGGGAGCTGCTCCACCCATTCAGCCCACACCAAGCATCGCCACTGCACAGGCTGAGGGCTGCTGGATGTTCAGAATATTTTCCAGCGTTGCAAAAGGAGCCACTTCCATGAGCCACTTCCTGCTCTGAACTGTCCTTCGGACTGCTTTCAGCTCGCCCTAGGCCCCCTTGCATCTCTCTCTTTCTTTCTCACCTTCTGCCTCTCTCTGTCTCTCTCTTCCTGTCATTCCTCAGTCCTGATGGGGCCCCTTCGAGGCTGAATCGGACAGAAGAGGACCTCTCTAGCTCAGCTTTGTTTTCCAGCCAGTGATTCCAAGTTCTCAGGGCACTGAATCCATGCCAGGTTTTCCTCTGAGTTTTGCAGGAGTTGTCAAAGATGCTAAATTTCATCCCCCCAAGGAGGTTCAGCCCCTGGGATAGCTCTTGTAGACTAAAACCTGGAATGGATTCACTGGCCCACAAACCTGAACTCACCACCAATCTTGTGTTCTTTGATGGGGACATGCGATGGAGTGTGCAGTCGCACTTGTGGTCCACTGATGTGCCCTTATTTGGAATAGGTGCTGTTGTCTGGTAGGATATTGAGTCAAAGAGGTGCCTTTTGGCCTGATCCTTTTCTGGTGCTCTTAGGTTCTTCGGGGCATTACAACACAGTCCACGCTGCCTCCAGCAGCTGTTCACACAATCAGCCAACTTGACTTGCAGGTCCCCACCCAGGGGAAAGCCCAGGTATTCTTGGACCGCAGCTCCCAGAAACCCTGGGCAGCACAACCAGTCCTAGTACCAAGGGGGTGGGGGTGGGGGTGGGAATAAAACAGAAACAGAAAAATGATCAAGGAAGACAACCATGAAAACCAAAATAACAATTACACAGCAAGAAAAAGACGGCTTCTAACAGTGTCGTAGTTGATGTTCCAGAATATCCATAGCATTCACATTCTTCCACAGACCTGTGAATTTTACACTCCTTCCTCCTCTTTTCTTCTTCTTCTATAAAGGTAAGGCATAATTTTGTTTACTTCAGCACAATCCTGAGACCCGAGTGTCACTCCACTAAACAAGGCGTCTCTTTGATTCCCCACCATTGGCATCAACCAATTGCCTAGTCGAAACTAAATGGAAAGAGCCATCTTCTGATCCTAGGTTCCACTCCTTAAAGACGTTTTCTACTTACTTTGTTTATTCAAAGTATTTGTTCATTGGTTTTCTGCCCACGAGGACCCCCAACGGGATGTGCAGTGAGAGATATAAAAACCCTGCTTAAAAATGGATTTACGGTAAAAGCATTTGGGAAAAAAATCAAGCCTGTTTTGAAATCCAAAGGGCAGGGAGAAGAAGGCGGGCAGCTTCACTGCTTGCTGGAAGCTGAACAAGGATTCAACCTGTCTGGCCTGCCCAGAGAAAGCCCCCCCCAGGGGGGGTCCTCCTTTTAGGGGACATGAGGTGATGCCCCACCTCGGACCGCCCCTCAGCCAGCCCCCTTTAGCCTGCCTGCCAACCAGAGGCAGATGCCCTCCCTTTGTCTGTGTTTGTAAATGCTTGCTTACCTACCTGCCTGTCTGGGTGACTGCCTATCCATGCACATGCATGTGCAAAAGAATTGCAGAAAGAGAGAGAGAAGGAGATAGAGAGAACATCACCAGCTCAACTCAACCTAGGTTGCTGGGACTTCTGATGCAACTCTCTTTGAAGGCTGAACTGAAGAAGACCTTAAATTCCAGGCAGGTTCACCAGGGAGAAGGTGCTCTTCTTTCAGAGATCCCGGCCCCCAAGGAAGTTCCTGGGTGTCGTTTGCATTGCTTAGAATACCAAGTGAAGCCTGGGGGGGGTGGGTGGAATCCAACTCAACGGCTTCCTACATTTGCTTCTTTTCCTGATTGGTCGGAATGCTGTGACGTCACACTTCTGTCTTTCCCTCGGGAATTCCAAGGATCTCAGCAGGCCATCCCTTGGTGGTCCAGGTTGGTGGCCGCCCTCTCCCAACGGATGGGACCAAGAATGGGGTTCTCGGTGGGCCACACCCAACGCCAGCCTCTCGGTGGCCGAGGGCCCCACCTCTTACCGGGACAGGTTGGTCTCGTGGGATTTGAGGCCACCTTGAGAAGTTCCAGTGGGACCAGTCCCAGTCCCAGGACTCAGTGGGACCTGGAAGAGAGCGGTCCAGGCTTTGCCACTTGGCTGGCTCCAGGCAGTGAAGAAGGAGCAACTATGAAAAGACCCCAGGAAGGTTGGAGGGGAAGGCATGGATGCTGAAAATGTGCACAGTCTCACACATACGTTCCCCGAATGGTGGGAGCAGTGATGGGTGGAAGTGAGCCCTCCCTTCTAAATACACCAACGCTGTCCAGCACCAAGGCATTTGAGGTTCATTCCCCACAGCTGAGGTGCCCTCTGCCCTTGGGGAGCAGGGGTCCCCAAAAGTAGCCCTTCCGTGGTTCTTCCAGATACCGCAGGTCCGTGCTGTGGACATGCTGGAGACACAGAATTTCCTGGTTAAAATCTCTGAAGGCTATTACGGATGTTTGTATCTGTTTATTTAAATGATTTGTCACCCATATTTGAGGGTAAACCCTTCGAAAAAGGTTCTCAGGAGGTAGAGGAGCCGAGAAAACCCTCTGCCTGCCAGCTGCTGCTCTTATTGAGCCATTGGTGGCTACATCTGTGCTACGCCAGTGACCTCCACATGTTTTGGAGTCCAGATGTGATCATCCATGACCTTCAGCCGTGCTGATTGCATCTGAGGGTGGTTGTGGACTGAAGCATAGGGAGAGCACCAGACTGTCTACCTTGACCCTCGGGGTTATCTACCATGACATTGTTTCAATTAAATTGAATGCTTTAGATTTCATGTGTTTATAATTCCCCATCACAGTGCTAACTAAGCACCAAGGCCTCCTCTCCTGATTTCTCTCACAAATTCACAGCATTCACCCATCTCTTCCTCTCCAGATCATCATCCTCCAGCAGGTGGACATTTTTCCTGGTGCATCCCCAGTGTGCCTTCTGCAGCAGCCGCACCAAAAGCATCATCATGTTGAAAGGCCCAGTTCGCATTGTTCCTCAGTGGAAGGAACTCAAAACACAAATTATGAACAAGCTGGAACTTCAGAAGGTGATGGAGATGGAATGTCAGATGACAGAAACCAAAATTTTCTCTCTGGGATGGGGTGCGGTGGGGATGTAAGAGAGAGAAGGAGGGGATTTCTTACAGAATGGGTACCACAAAGCAAATGCACTTAACTTCTGTCCATCCATCCATCTGTCCGTCCATCTGTCTATCCTTCCTTCCTTCCTTCCTTCCATCCATCCATCCATCCGTCCATCCATCCATCCATCCGTCCATCCATCCATCCATCCGTCCATCCATCCATCCATCCGTCCATCCATCCATCCATCCGTCCATCCATCCATCCATCCGTCCATCCATCCATCCATCCGTCCATCCATCCATCCATCCGTCCATCCATCCATCCATCCGTCCATCCATCCATCCATCCGTCCATCCATCCATCCATCCGTCCATCCATCCATCCATCCGTCCATCCATCCATCCATCCGTCCATCCATCCATCCATCCGTCCATCCATCCATCCATCCGTCCATCCATCCATCCATCCGTCCATCCATCCATCCATCCGTCCATCCATCCATCCATCCATCATCAACTCCTTCCTTCCTTCCACCACTCTCCCTCCTGGTGACACAAATGCTGACCACAAGCAGTTAGGCATCCTTCAACCTCAGCCCTGTAAACCTTGCCCACCCACCCGCCATCTTCTCCCTCCTTGGACAGGGCTTGCCGGAGATGCCAGCCGAAGGAGCCCATATCCTGCTGAGCGACAGACCCAGCATCATCTTCCGGGAGAGCTGTTTTCCCGACTTCATGCCACTCATCTGCCTCTATACCACCAACGCAAGCACCTACTTTGCCTCATTCACCTGGAGGAGAGGGAAGGAGAGCAAGGTGAGAGGTGGCCAGGTGGCTCATGGCAGAGGTGTGTTTTGTGTGTGTGTGTGTGCCTGTGAGGAGACAACAGGAGCTGCCCTACCTTTTGCAACCTCCAACCTCCGACACTCAAACGTGGACACGATTCTAAAGTTTTCCCCTTAAGTGCGTGAGTCTGGCAGCTGGGCCAAAACATCTTGAGGCCAGCATCCTATCACAATAGCTGACTCAGAGGTAGCATGCAACCCATCAAGGCTGCTCCACCCCTTGCGTTGCCTTTCTTTCCTCCACCCACCAGGAGAAAGTCAACGGCCTTAGGGAGTGGCTATTCCTAACCTTGCGCCTTGATTCCACTTATGCGCCTCCCACCCCCTCTTGCTTCGGGCTCCCTTTCTCCTCCCAGAGAAGAGGCCAGTGGGCCTGAATCCAAGGCCTCCATTTACTCCAGGTCATCCTGGCAGCCAATTCTTGGAGTGATTTGCCCTAGGGAAAGCTGCATGGATGGAAGGCATTCTAGGCAGCTGAGAAGAAGCTTGAGCACTGTCTTGGCGTGCACACCCACCCAGCATCTTTCCTTTTCTTGCTTCTTCCAGCATCAGAGGTTTGCACTGAATTGAATTACAAGCTGCATGGTCTTGGGATCAAATCAACACCTGGTGTCGAAATCATTGAACCTAGGCCAGCAATTCTGGTGGATTCAGAGGCTAGTTTTCTGCCCCCGAATGCACCAGGCTGCAAAAGAAGCACATACGCCACAACCCTGAAACTACAGACCGCTAGAAATCTATTTCGCTTTTTTGAAAAACAGCTGAATTTGGGTGTTCAATAAGTCTTGGTAGGCTGTGTGACCAACTTAAAAAGTTAGTAGCTAATGGAAGGCAGCAGTAAAAAAACAGGAAGACCAAATCAGAGAGACAAGGACCCCCACCAACCAACCAGCCAACTCAGCTAAAGAACCCTACCTGTTCAGGACCTCCCCCATCCCCTCTCGGCCCCACAGGATCCATTCTCCCCAACTCCCAGCCTGGCAAAGCAGGGCTGGACTTACCTGAGGGTAACCTACAAGTCCTTTCTTCCTTTGCAGGTGCGTGTCTGGACCTACAGCACAGAGAAGGAGACCGCCGTGACCGAGAAAGAGTACTCGTTGCCTGAAGACCCACGAGTGATCATGATGGTTCATGTCCTCCATCTCCATCTCCTGGTGGCGTACTGCGATGATATCCACTTGCGCTTGTTTGGTGACCACACGCAGGACTTCACGCTTCTGGCCGAGATGAGCTCCCCCTACTCCATCACCAGCATGTGCTACAACCCAGAGACTGGCGAGGTAGTGACCGGGGCCATTGGCATCGTGGCGTTTTGGTCCTTTGTCCCTGGGAGCCTTCCATCCCTAGATGTCACCCAGGAGGTGTGCATCGCGACTGGGGAGTTTGTGCACTTTCTCTGCGTGGAGCCCGAGCGGAGAGTGCTGCTCGCCCTGTGCGAGAACAACATTCGGGCATACAACTACCAATCCAAGACCCAGGTCCGCACTTTCCAGGTCAGCCAGGGTGTGTCCCTCACCTGCTGTTCGGCCAACTGGTCCCAGAGCTTCCTCTACACCGGAGACCTGGCCGGGGACATCAAGGTGTGGAACTTTGACACGGGGAACCAGATTGGGCAGTTCAAGGCTCACCTGAGCGCCATCACCAGCATCATCAGCCGGACCTCGGTGCACACGCTCATGACCGCCTCCCTGGACGGGAGGGTGAAGGAGTGGAACCTGACCACCTGCGAGCAACTCCGGCGTGTGGACATTGGGGAGGAGCTGTTCCAGATGCAGTTCATCAACGAGCAGACCTTCTTCCTTCGCACCAAATACAGCTTCTCCATCCGCACGATCAACAACTTCTACCAGCTCTTCAACAGGTCCAAATCCGTGGTCCAGAAGCTGGTGCGCATCCAGTGTGGACCGGACAAGGCACGCATCCTGGCTGCCACAAACGATGGCGTGATCCGATTCCTCTCTCCTGTGACGGGAGAAATGCTTTTCGTCACCTGGCCATTCCAGTTGCTAGAAAAGGCGCTGGACTACGTTTACGACCCAGATCAGGAGGAGCTGATGGTGACCATGGGCACCAGTGATGTCTATGTCCTGGATACCACCAAGAATCCCTGCCCGACCAAGTACATCCTGCACACCACAGACATGGAGGATAAAGTGCTGTGCCTTGCCTACAGCCGCCTGGACCTGAACGGGCGCACCTCCGGCTTCATCTTCACGGGCTACAAGAGTGGGAAGGTGCGCACCGTCACCCAGCAACTGTACCGGATGGGGACGCGCAAAATCCACGATGGCAATGTGGTAGCGCTCAGCAGCATCTCTGCCTCCGGGAACCTGGCGTACCACTCGCGAGAGTCCTCCTACCTGTGCTCCTACGGTCTTGACGAATACATCATCCTCTCGGATGTGGTGTTAAAGAAGAACAACCTGTTGGATGTGGTTCCCTTGGTGGCCATCCCCAGCATCAACTGCCGGATCAACCACCTCCTCCTCATTCCGGGCTACATCTGCGTCCTGACGGAGCAGAACCGGGTGCGGCTGTGGCGCCAGGCGTCGCTGGTGCCCGGGAAGAAGAACCCGTTCTGGAAAGAGACCAGCGCCATGCATTCCACCTCCATCACCTCCTTCGACTACTGCCACACGCTCGGCATCCTGGTGACCGGCGGCTCCGACGGCTCCGTGCGTATCTGGGACATCCTGGGGCAGATGCTGGTGGAGTTCGACACCACCCTCAAGTTCAGCCGCGTCTGCTTCGCCAACCAGCGGGGGGACCTGGTGGTGGGCTGCAACATGAACATCTATTTCATCTCCTGCGTCACCTACCTGCCCCCGAAGCAGCTCAGTATGCTGGCCAACGGGCATGTGAGGGATGATGTGGTGGAGCACCCCCTGCCCTTCCTGTCCTGCTTCCTCCTCTCGTTCGACATCGTTTTTGTGCCCAAGTGAGTTAATGACGGAAGAGGATTTGGGGGGAGGGGGGAAGAGAGAGAGAGCTCAGCAGGAGAGAAGGATGGGAGCCATCAGGATGGGAGCCTGCCTCTGTGTCTACCTCGGTCGGTCGATACACCAAACGACCCTGAGCAACACCACCTCCCTGGGAATTAACTCACTGGAAATTAGCCCGCTTATCCGTAGGGTTCCAACATTCGGTGCCTCCGTCGTCAGCGCACTGATAGGGGCATCCTCCAGGTTCGCGGGTTGTCCAAGCCTTGGCCTCTTGTGCTTCGGCCCACTACCTCCTATGATCCTTCCTCACCAGGTGACCCCGGAGAAGGCCACACAATTTCATGGCTGAGTGCCACTTGCTGATTTGCAGGACTTGCAAATGAGGAGGCTGGGCAAACATTAACACGGTCAGGTGCTTTAAGCAGCTGGACGGCAGCCCAGGCTCCACGCCGGAATAAACCAGCTATGGATTAACCGGCTTATTAACAGGGGCTCTACCCCAACTTTCCAGGATGGCTCTAAATTCTGGCCAGCAGCAGGGCGTCTTTTAGCATAGAGAAAGAGGTAGGAAGAGGAGAGGTGGGCGGTGTTGAAGAGCGAAGGCCACGTAGAGCGTGATCTCACCCTGCCTAAACCTATAGCACCAAGTATTCCCCATCCCTCTGGTGTCATGGAATTGTGGGGAGGGGACAACTCAGACACCTCTTTCTATCCCAAGACTTCGGTCCAGCTTCAAGTGGCCACAGGATGACAGAAGGGGCTCCGCATACATTTGCAGGGAGGCAACGGTCTTCCTGATGGCTTGGGGAAAGCGATGTGAAACTGGCTGGGCTGGGGGCCGATGCTCTGTGTTCTTGGAGAACAGGGAAGGGCATCGGGCAGGATAATGCTTGGGGGTTGGTGGTTTCTAAGGCCCTGGCTGGAAAAGAATAGGAATTTCCGCACTTTGACCGGCCTGTCTCAAACCCCTTCTCTCCCAAAGGTATCGCCAGGTGGGCAAGCAGGCCAAGAAGTTTGATCGGATGGAGCCCATCACCAACCACAAGGAGGTGGTTATGGAAAAAGACGTGGCCAAAGTCCTCGAGTTCATCGGCAAGGACGTTGCCCACCTGCCCGGCCCAGATTTCTTTGGGGACGTGCCGGATCTCAGGGAGATACACCCAGAGTTTGCTTTGGAGTACCGACTCCTGAAGCAGGCCTCTTTCGAGAAGAAGCCCTCTCCCGCTGAGCCTCCGTTAACGCCTCCGCCTTACCGGGGGCTTCCAGCCCTGAAGGACACGGTCCCCTTGATCCGCCGGATCCCGTTCCAAACTGGGCGTTCGTGGCCCATTGCGCCGGACGGCTACATCCCCAATTCAGTGATCCGAGCCCAGCTGTTTCCCAGGGGGACCCCCGAGACCCTCACGTGCCCCCTGAAGCAAACCAGGCACCCTTTGCCCAAGAGGAAGCTGATCAAGATTCAGTTGCCGGAGTGGGACACCTCGGAGATCGTGGAGAAAGCCCGCAAGAAGAAGGCCCAGAGGTTGCGGCGAACCGCATCCATCTCCGAGGGGCAGCAGCGCCGCCGGGACCTCCTGGCAGAAATTGTGACGAAGCCCTGGTTGCGACATAAGCCCAGCGACGCCTCCCTGCCTAGCGTCGTGAAGGCCATCTTGAACCTCATGGACGATGTGCCCTATTCCACCTACTTGCTTTGCGTTGCTGCTCTCGTCCAGATTTCCGAGTCTTACCAGCTGCCCTCCCCTGTCCAAGAGCAGGCTTTTGACCGTCTCATCCTGGACACGACCCACAAGGAGGTCAGCTGGCATCAGGCGCCGATGGGGTTGGGGTGCTGGGAACAGCATCAGAAGCACACGGGGCTGTGCGCTCACCCGTCTTAGGGCTACTCGCTTTGGAGGACTGCCCGTAGCATCCCAGCAGGAAGAAAGAGAAGCCAAACAAATGGTACTCCCGGAGGATTCGCTCCGTAGGGTTCTCCTCCGTGAACGTGGATGCCAGATGATCCCTCTAGGATGAGGCCCTACCTATGAGCTAGTTAACCCCCGTCAGGGACTTTGGAGAAGTCTGGCTCCAGAACATTTCGGGTGAACTTTCCAGGGATGTCCGCGGGTCTTTGGTTCTGAGTCCTGGGTCCCAAGCCCCAAGCCTGAGTTCCTGTTAAAAATAAGCTTTTTTTGTCCTCAGAAAAAAAAAGGAGGGGTGGAATTTACACCCATTCCGCTGGGTTTTCACCCATCCCTCTGTGCTCCTTGAGCCAAGCTCCCGGCTTGGAAATGCTTTTGTCCCATCTCCGGCTCCCGCTCCCTCATCAACACTATCCCACTCGACCGTTCCCCTGCCACTCTTGGCTCCCAAAGTACCGTCTTCACATTATCTGCCCTTGCCGCCGCCCCGGAGGTGGACAAGCTCCCATCCTGCAAACTGTGGCCAGAGCCCACCCTGTCCGACAGCAGAGCACGAGGCGTCTGTGTGTGGAGCCTGGGTATGGCTCTGGATCAGTGCGGAGTTCCTACAGGTGAGGTCTGAGATCCCGTACTTTCCTCCTTCCCAGGTCCGGATGCGGCTGGCCGCTTGGGAAGCCTTAGGGAAGATGGACCTGCTGACCGAGAAGGAGGTGGTCCCGCTGGCCCGAGCCTTGCTGGACGAGAGCAAGAAAGTGCGAGACCTTGCCCGCTCTCTGCTGGACGCGGTGGCTGGCATTACAGATAAATTTGTCTTGAAGAAGGAAATGCAGCGGCTGGCAGAAAGCAGCCTGGAAGACCTGTAAGTGCCTCCTGGCGTGTTGGGCTCTGGGCAGAAAAGGGCCTCTCTCTCTCCTCTGAAGCCCTTGTGGGGTGAGGGTAGCAGTGGCTTCTTTGGCTAAGATGAGGTTCCTGACTGGGTTCCTTTTCTGGAAGCCTCTCGTATATGAAGACCAGGTGGCCGGGCACTGAAATGTCCCCAGAGGGAAGCTTAATGGGTCCCATCTCAGTGCGGGGCTCCAAAGCAGGGTCAATTTGGACCACCACCGCACCCAACGGGGCCCAGGCGGAGGAGTCCCACTCCAAAGGCTGTGTGGCCGATATCATGAAAGGTGGAAATGATCAGTCATGAAGGCCAAAGAAGGACCCAGCTTTGGCATTCCAGGAAGGAGAAATTTACAGTGGAATTGCGGGGCAACGTGTTTTAAGCTGCAAGGCTGGACCCTTCCCATACTACACCCTTCTGGCTTTCCTGGTCACATCGTGCATCTCTCTCTCTCTCTCTCTCTCTCTCTTTCTCTCCTCCCATTCCTTCCTTCCTTCCTTCCTTCCCTTCCTTACTCTTTCTCCTTCCTTCCTTCCTTCCTTCCTTCCTTCCTTCCTTCCAGGACGGAACTGATCCGCACCCAGGAGAAAGCTTTCCCTCGCAGAGTGCGGGCTGCCGGCATCATTGCTGAGACACAGGATGAAGCGGTGTATGCCCTGACCGAAGGGGCAGAGAGGCTGATGAACCGGGTGGAGAATCAGCTGACCGCCAATCTCTTCCTCATGTCTGAGTGTGCCCCGGAGATCACGAAGCCCATCGCCCGCCCGCCCCGTGCCCGGCGCAGGCTCATGTCTCTGGGGGCACCGGAAGAGTTTGCCAAGCCCGATTCGCACTTAGAGGCTCAGGCCCGATGGCTGGGCCTCTTTGCCCAGTCTGGGAAGCAGCCAGAGGCCAGGCACAAGGCAGGTGAGTTCCAGGCATGTCCTTTTGTCCTCCTCAGCCAGAAGGGGGCCTTGAAACCCCAACATACATTGCCTGCCCAAAGGGGCAAACACTGTGAGAATCTTTCCTTGGGTGCAAGAGCAAAAAGACCAGCAACAGCCTTTGGGGGAAAAAAACTTGTGGGTCTGGGGCAAAATTGTCATCTTCTGCATGAAAAACTTAGCATTTTGTGCACCATGTAGGATTTTTGGGTCAAACTTTACAAAAGTTTGCACCTTATTGTTTTTTGGCTGAAAGAGAGAGCTGGCTTGAAATTCTTACCTATGAAAATGGAAGAAGCATCGTTGTATATTTTGGCCTCATCAAGTTCTGTTTGGAACATTCCTGCCAGTAAGGAACTGTTGGGTAGCATCATCATAAACAAACACTCTCTTTTGCATTTCATTTTCTCTCTCTCTAATGGCTAACAAAAGGAGCTGCGTCTTTAGAGCTCTCTCTCCTGGGATCCTGGAAGCTTCATCAGAACATTTCTCTGCCTCTCTGGAGTTCCTGTACTGCCTGCTTTTAGACGAATGCTCAGAACAATTTTGCTTTGCTGGGCTATTATGGAACTTTGCTTTAATGAGGAATGTCTCTTTTGCTCCGGCATTTCTAATTCTGCTGCCTTGGCACTTTCCAGTTTTGTACCAGGACTTCAGGGCTTTGCATTTATTCTTTATCCTACTTCTCATTTCTCTTGCCTTTCTACTGAACCCAAACAATTCCTGGTGTTGTTTCACACAGTGGCAGAAATACCGTTGCAGGCACCACGGGGATGGCCTCCTCGCCAACAGCAAATTGCCTGCAGCTTGAAAAGGTGCACGCCTCTTGTGCTCCATGCCACAAAGTTGTGGGCACCCTGACATTGCTGAAGGAAGCCTTTCACCTGCAATGGTTTGCCACATTGGTGTTGCACATGCGATGCTGAGGAACAGGATCCCAAGCAGTGGATTCTGAGGGCTGGACACCATGTTTGGGCAAACCACAAATTCTTGGCCTGATCAGGAGCAGTCTGCATGAGGTCTGGATTGAAGCTGAAGAAACCGATTTGGTTCCACAGAGCAGTGAAATGAATTAAGTAATTGCGAAGGCTTTCACGGCTGGGATCTAATGGTTGTTGTGGGTTGTTCGGGCTCTTTGGCCATGTTCTGAAGTGTTCAGAGTGCTGTCCTCTGAAGATGCCGACCACAGAAACTGGCGAAATGTTAGGAAGAACAACCTTCAGAACACGGCCAAAACCCATAACAACCATTGAATTAAGTAACTCGCTCAGGTTTAGGGCACAAATGTCTTCATGATCCAAGATGGGTTTTTTTTAAAAAGCAAAACTTAAAGGTATTTGGCGTGCAATCCCCTGAGGCTAGCTGAGATATGGCAAGTTTGCTTTCCAACCCTTCTTGAGCATCTACCCTGTCTCCAAATTTCATATCCATCAGCAGAAAAACAAGGCAGAGCCATTTTGGTTTTCGAAACACAGATGTAGACATCCGTAAAGATTTGGGGTACAAATGGAATCAGGTGGGGTGCTGAGCCCTCCAGACTAAATCAGAATCTGTTTCAAAGTCCCAAAATGAGAAAAAAACCACCCTGAATTGTGGGGACCCTCGTGCTTATATTACATGGTTTGGTTGTTTTTTAATGTTGCCAGCCTCCACGAACGACTTGTTGAAACAGCAAAGGATGCCACCCGTTGCATGTGCCCGCCGTGTGCTGTGCCCTGAACAGAGATGCCTTCCCTTCACCTTCCCATCTCTTCTTTCCCTGCAGTTGCCAAGGAGGTTGAGAAATCCGAGAAGGTCCCCAGGATCCAGCAAGCGCGGGGGAAGATCATCTCCTCGGTGTCTGCTCCTTTGCCTGAGAGCAGCCCCAGCCTCAGCAGCGTGGCCACCACCACCAGCGAGACCAGCAGCGGCTCCGCCACCAGCGGCTCCGTCCTCAGCGACGGTACTTGGCGGAAAGCAAAGACGCCCAAGGAGGCCAAGGCGAAGGAGAAGCCGGGGAGGCCCAAAGTCCTTCCCACCACTTCCCGCGAGGTCCCCAAGCTGCCCCCGGTGCACAAGCAGGCCCAGCCGGTCCTCCTGCAGCGTCGGGACACCCGCACCCAGCTGTACACGGAGATGCTGAAGCACCTGGAGCGGAAGGGCAAGAAGGAGCAAGTGATCTCTGCCACCCCGCTGGACCTGAAGCCGGACGTCCCTCCGCAAGTCCAGCCCAGCCAGGCGGTGGTTCCTGGGCCCCCACAGCTGGCCCCCAAGGGCAGCCTCATCGATCCGAAGAAGCACTACAACACCGAAGGGACCAACTGGCGGAACGACCTCTACAAGTTGATGATGCTTCGCACGGGTCTGTCGGTGGAGGGCCGCACCGCAGCGCAGGACTTCCTGGCCTCCGCCCGGCTTGCCCTCGGGGGCCGCGCCATGTCTTGGGAGGCCTTCACCAACATCAGACAGTCCCTCCTGCTGTCTCAGGAGAAAGTCACCATGGAGCCGGAAGAGTGGAAGAAGTACATGGAAGGGGTGTTCAAGGCCTCTTTAGAGGAGCCGACGGCGCTGTCCCTTCAGCCTTCTGTGCCCAGCCTGGAGACGGTGGTGGCCGTGAAGAAGGGGAGAGACTGGCTCAGCAGTTCAGAGACGGAGCTTGAAAGCCTTGAGATGAGTCGGGAGGAGCTGGTTAAGGGGAGGAGAGTGATGACCAGGGAGAAGGGGGCAAAGGGGAAGAAGGGCCTTGATCACAGAGCCCAGGCAAGCCGGGTCTCCGCCGTGGTCTCCAAAAGCAGGGAAGCGGGAAAGGCACCAGAAAAGGAAGAGAAGGTGGCCAGAAAGGCGGCTAAAGTAGGAAAGGCAGAATCAAGGATCGCCAAACAGAAAGAGCAGGAGGCGGCCCAAAGAAAGGAGTCGGAACTGTTGGCCAAGGGGAGGAGGCGGGAAGGGGTGAAGGGCAAAGAACAGGAGGCGGTGGCCAAAGGAAGAGAAGTGGAAGCCGCCACCAGGGGGAAAGAACCAGAGGCAGCCAGAGGGAAAGAACCAGAGGCAGCCAGAGGGAAAGAACCAGAGGCAGCCAGGGGGAAAGAGCGAGAGGCGGCCAAGAGGAAGGAGTGGGAGGTGGCGGAGAAGAAAGAGAAAGAAGGCCCCAAGAGAAGGCTGGCGAAGACCGCCGACAAGCAGAGGGAGCTGGCCGAAGGGAAAAAGAAGGGAGGTCCCAAGGAGAAAGAGTCGAAGGAGGAATCTCTGCTTTGGGACTTCCGGAGGATGTGGAAGGTGGAGACCCTCCTGACGGCCTCCGAAAAGCGGCTGCTGAAGGTCACAGAGAGCACCCTGATGGAAATGCGGGCTGAGGCAAAGGAGAGGATGCTGGCTCAGCTGAAGGAGAAGGCGCTGGCCGAAGCCGAGAAGGCGGCGCTGGTAGAAGTGAGGGGGCGGGCCCTGGCCGAGGCCAGAGAGATGGCGCTGGCGGAAGCGAGGGACTGGGCGATGCTGCAGGCGCGGAAGGCGACCCTGATCGAAGCCTGGGAGACCGTGCTGGCCGAAGCCCGGGTGAAGGCCCTGCAGGAAGTGATGGCGCAGGCGCTGGCTGAGGCCCAGGAGCTGGCGCTGACCGAGGTGGGCGAAGGGGAAGTCGTAGATGAGGCCCGCATTCAGGAACTGGCCAAGGCCAGAGCGGCCGTCCTGGCCGAAGAGAGGGCCTTGGAACTGGCCGCCACCATGCCGCTCGAGGTCGATGAGGCCAGGGTTCTGGAGCTGGCCGCGGCTCAACTCATGGAGCTGGATGAGGCCCGGATTCAGGAACTGGCCGAGGAGAGGGCCAAGGAGTTAGCCAAGGTGAGAGCGGAAGAAATAGCTGAGGCCAAGATGCTGGAAGTGTCTGAGTCGGCCCTCATGGTGATGGTGGAGGAGATGGTGGAGGAACAATTGAGGACGTTCCTGATGGAAGAAGAAGGAGAAGGAGAAGGAGAAGGAGAAGGAGAAGGAGAAGGAGAAGGAGAAGGAGAAGGAGAAGGAGAAGGAGAAGGAGAAGGAGAAGGAGAAGAAGACATGATGGGCAAAAAGGGACTGAAATGGGAGGAAGAGGAAGGGGGAGAGGAGGCAGGAGAGGAAGAGAAGGAGGAGGAAGAGGAAGGGAAAGGGGAAGAGGAAGGGGAGGAAGGAGCTGACATGTGGGAGGACCTGGAAATGGAAGAATTTTGGCCACTGTCTGCCGAGGAGACAGAAGCCTTCCTTAGCATGCTGGAGAAGGAACCATCTCCGGGGGCAGACCTAGAGCTTTTAGAACAAGCTAGTTTGCTCCTGGAAGTCCTGATGGGGCCGGAGGAACCAGAGTACACCGATTCTGAAAGAGTTGAGCGGGTCTGCCAGGTGATCTCCCTGCTGCAAGTGGCTTCCACAATGGACGCCGAGGGGCTAGGGGAAGCCTTGGTCAAGAAAGCCAAGGAGATCATCCAGGAAGGTGAGGAGCGCCAGGCGGCCTCGCTCGAGGGCATCCCTTCGGTCTTGATGAAGCTGAAGGAGGTTGTGGAGACCGGCCAGCCGTGGACCGCCAACCCCAAGCAGTTTGAGAAGAAGATGAAGGCGTTCCTGAAAGCTGCCCTGGCGGTGTTGCAGGCCAGGAACTTGAAGGAGAAGATGGGGGGGAAAGACGTTGGGAAAAGAGGCTGGCGGGAGCGGGCGGAGAAGTCCTTGGCAGAGGAGGGCGGCCGGCTGGTCGGGAAGAAGGCTTGGCTGCGCAAGAAGATCAAGCAGGCCGTCGGGAAGTGGAAGGTGGAGCAGGAGAAGGCTCAGTGGGAAAGGCTCGAGCAGCAGCGCAAGGAGAAGCGCCTCCAGTTCCGAGGGAAGCCCATCCTGCTGGGTGTGAGCGAGAAGGAGGCCACCCCGCAGGAGGAGGGAGAGGAGGAGAGGAGGGAGGAGGAAGAGGAGGAGGAGGAGAAGCGGAGGAAGGCCGAAGCGCTGGCCCGCCGGAGGCCACCCAGGATGACGTGGTCCCTGGGGGACCAGCAGCGCCAGAGAGCCTGGAAGGCCATCATGCACCTGGAGAAGGAGGTGCCCACCTCTCCTCAGGAGCAGCTCCGGATCCACAAAGCCAAGAGCCACCGGCTCTCGAAGGGGTCTCTCTACATGACCACCAAGCCGACGAAGGAAGGCCGTCGGCGGATGCTCCGGAGGGGGGCCCGGCAGCACATCTTCCGCCTCGAGGAGGAGAAAGGCATTGACTGGGAGAGGTTTACCAAGCTCTACCAGTCGCTCATGTCTCTGAAGGAGGTGGACGGCGGCATGGAGTCCGCCGTGTGGAGGGTGCAGTCCTCCAAGCTCCTGGACCTCTACGGCTTGAGCAACCCGCTCATCCGAGCCATGCTGCAGCAGGTGCTCATGGGGGGCCTCCACGAGCGGAGGTACCTCACGGGGAACACCTTGAAGATGAGGCAGGGGGAGGCTGACCCGGGACAGCGGATCCTCTACGAGCTGGTCCACCACTCAGGCCGGCTCCGCCCTAAGCCCGCGGCCTTGCATGGTGTCATTCCGCTCAGTTTCCAGAACAATGTGCACCCCTTCAAGATACGGGGCATGACCCGCTTTGGCACCCTGGCCCTCAAGTGGAAGACTTATCTCTCCAAAGGAAAGGTCCCCAAGCTGCGCTTGTACGTGCGCTCAGGACCCACATAAAAAAGTTGTCATTTATCTATACAGTATTTATATATAGGTACACACACAGAGAGAAAGAGAGTTGTCTAGACAAATATATTATTTTTTTTTAGCATTGCCTCTTATAAGGCATTCTCATTTCAACAAAGTGTTTCTCAAGGAGCTCACAGGGCGATGAAGGATCCTTGAAAAAGACGCTGAGGTTCTGATACAACCTCCCGAAAGGTTTGTTGAGTTCCTACTGTACTGGTTATTTTATTCATGTAAATAGTTGCAAGGTGTCTTCTGGGACCGAGGCAGGAAACAAAATACGTGTTTAGAATTACAATGCGACAATAAAAATCTGAAATGCAGAAAATGAAACAGTCATTTATTAAGGTGCAACTTTGCCAGCTTTAACAATATTTGCAGGGTTGCAGATAATCTGTCAAGAAGAGAACAGTATGACTTTTTAGAAATCCTGCACCTAAGGAGGCCAGCCTTCCATGCTTTGTGGGGGAGGGGAGAGGGGGGAGAGCTCCCGTAACCCCTTGGACCTGGGATGGAGAAGGCCTCTTTCTCCATGGTCTCCAAATCTAAATGAAGTCTTGTCCACAGGGAAGTACCTGGCTCGGCATCCTTCCTTCCAGTTATTTCCCCCACTAACCAGGTTAAAAAGAATACATCTCTACATGGCTACTTTCTGCTGTGCTTTTTAAAATCTCCTTGGGAGGCCTGTATGATTTTGAACCGGGCTTTGTTTTTTGGGGGACGGTTGGAGCTTCGTACTCAGCACCATAAAATAAGAACAATACTTTTAAAAATGCAAACAAATAGAATAGACCTGAGCCAAGACTGAGGCAAGGTGGCTTCACCTGATGCATCATCGCGTGGTCTCCTGCAGAGACCAGCTGGTCACCTTCGGGGATCATGGAATCAGAGTCCTGGAAAGAATGTTGTGGGCTAATCCTGAGCTCCAGGCAGGCCCTGGAATGTGGGATGCAGCCCCCAGAATCCCTGGCAGATGGTCTGGACATCTCTGCTTTTAAATTCCTCCAGCAGAGAAGAAACTCAGCAGCTCCCCAGGCAGCATTCTTGAACAGCTTTTTCCATTACAAAGTTTCTCTCACTGCAGAGCTAAGAAGTGTTTCTTTTTAGGAATACGACTCCCAGCATCCCTCCAATTTTTTTTTCCTCTTGAAGCCTGCTTCTTAATAATCTGGGCCCACGGGTTCCTGGCCTGCCCGGCAGAACAGCAGAGAACAAATCCGCTCCGTCTCCTCTGTTGAGCCCTTGCAGATGGTTGGGGTGACTGCCATCACACCAGACATGGAACCATTTGGGGGCTAAAAGGGATGGCAGGAGGCCTCCAGGCCCCTTTTTGTGCTCAGGAAAAAATATTTTTGCTTTCTTTTGTGTGGGTGGGGCAAGAGAAGAGACCCTGTGTTTCCCAGGCTTCCCCCTGTCCCAGCTCTCTCTCCCCCCCCCCGCTGCAAAGCCCCAAGCCGCCACCACGTGCTCCCTAATCTCCATGGCTCGTCTACAGAGAAAACCCTTTAATCCTGGGCCATATCTGTGTCAAGGCGGTGCAAGGCTCTATGCACCTGCTTAGGCTTTACCGGATGGTCCCCAAGCTCTCCTGGGGATCCCTGGCATTGATGTGGACCCCCCCCCTTTCTTCTCCAGTTCAGCAATGTTGCCTGAGGGAGAAACCCCTTGGAGAAGCAGTTCCCCATCTGTAGCCACGGAGTGCAGAGCACAGCCCTGTGAGACCCACAGGGGTGTGTGTGTGTGAGAGAGAAGTAGCCCTGTCTGTTCAACTGTTTTAGATTTGAGTCCAATCCTTAAGAACCTGTTTTCCACGTTTCTCTTCCTCCTTGCACACCAATAACAAAAGTGCCTCTGAGCAAGCACAGAGAGCTCTTCAGAAAGACGGGAAGGGTCGACAAGCAATCTGTTTGATCAGGGCCGCCCTGGAGGCAGAATGTCACCAATAACAACTTGGCCAGTCACAGAAAAGGAAAACACAAGGATGGGACCCCCTTGAGGCATATTCTGGCTGCAGAGTCTGAGGCTGGGGGGGTTCGATTCCCCCACGGGGCCTCCTGGACAGGGGCTGGACTCCCTGATCCGTAGGGTCCCTTCCTGCTCTGCAGGGAGCTCCAAGTGCTCGCCCCACTTTTCTGAGCAACCAGAGGTTTTTTTTGGGGGGGGGGAACACAGGACCACCCACTTGGAAGGAGGCTGCTGGAGAGCTGGAAACCCCCCAACAGCACATTGTTATTAACCAGGACTGCCGTTTTCTTAATGGTCCTTTTAAAATAGATACAGAACTTCCTCCGGTGCCAGTTGTCAGGGGGAAGAAAGGATACAAACCAAATAAGCAAATCTCTGATAAAAACGTACATTTCTGTTTCAGCTCCCAGGGTGGTGATAGGCTGTTTGGTGCATTCTAGAGCCTTGCAGGCAGAGAGGCTGTGCCAGGCCAGGTACCAGCCGCTCCACCACCACCACCTCCAACGCCCTTCCCCTATAGCTGAGCGGCCTCTAAGAGACCTGCCGGTCTGGTTTTGCCCTCCTCCCAGCGAAACAGGTGAATGGGTGGGTATTGCTGCTCCCTCCCTCTCCGTACCAGCTCAAGCCATTTTGCAGAATGTGCCCTTCCCGCTCCCTGCCTTCCAGGGCAACAGGTCCTGGCTGCCGCGCGCGCCCACTCCCCGTGCTCTCTGAAGCAGCGATGACCGCAACACCTGGTTGCCACCTGCAAGGCTGGCCCTGAACTACATTTCCCAGGAGTCCCGGGAAAGCTGTGCTGCTCAGAGGCAGCCGAGGAACAAAGGAAGGGTGCAGAGCTGGGCAGTTGCTTCGGCCAGGTCCCCGGGGTTTGGCCCCTGCACCACTTGGGGACAACCGAGCGACAAAGAGAGAGGAAGGACTCCCCCGCTAGCCTCCCTGGTTTTCATCCCCAAGGTCAGATCCTGAACTGCACGGAAAGCCACCCTTCCATTTCCCACCAGACTTTGGTGGGCAATCTGAGCAGAGAAATGACCAGGGCGAAGCATCATCATCATCATCACGTTTGAACAGCAGAGCGGGAAGGGACCCTACGGATCAGGGAGTCCAGCCCCTGTCCAGGAGGCCCCGTGGGGGAATCGAACTCCCAGCCTGCGACTCCGCAGCCAGAATATGCCTAAACCTACCAGCTATCCAACGGTTCAAAATCACCTCCAAACACATTCAAATCCACCCCGGAGGCAGGTCAGAAACAAGAAGGGCTGGGACCTCCAGCTGAAGTCTTCCCTGCAATATATCTCCCATTTCCTTAGAGCCCTCCAGCTCTGTTGGATTACAAACCCCATCAGCCCCAGCTCCTGGGAAAGACAGCAAGACCGCCCGTCAGGCACCGTCCCGCGGAGAAGTTCCGTATGTGGACGCTGCAGCCCAGCATCCGCCGGCTCCCCGGGCTTCCTTTCCTCGCCAGGAGGGGCACCGCCGTGGCCCCCC